TTATTCAGTATTTCTACAGTCAAGGCTCAGACTGCAGCATTCCTGGGTTCACAGGACACAGGGCGGCCTTGGATAATGGCATTCACTCTCTCAGATGTGTATGTGCACCTGCTTGGTGCCATCCTGTCTGTGACATTGGAAGCTTCTTTTCAACCTGTGAAAGTGGATTTCTGGAGTATTCCTACCACATTTCTGTCTGCCATTTCCCAGACGGGAAAAGGATAAGTTCACATATGGTGGCTAGCAGATACACAGAAGGCCTGAAGCTGGTGTAAGTGCAGCTTTATTGCAGGGCACAGAGAGGTGATGAGGTATGTGCTCCCTGGCCCTACTGGCCGGGGCCTGCCAGCACGTTGGCCCCGCCACACAACCACCAGGGGCCCCAGGCTCACAGTCTGCAACTCTGTGGCTGCACACGAATGTGTGACCCACAGGTGTAGCTCCTGGGCTGCAGAGCCTGTGTGATGCTTCTAGCATTTACTGTGTCCTACACTGAGTAGACATATGCAATAGATGCACTCTGAGGTGTGTGTATACATCTATATCTATATCTATATCTATATCTAATCTATATCTATATCTATAAATCTATATCTATATCTATATCTGTATCTGTATCTATATCTATATCTATATCTATATAATGATTCACATGCATAACTTTATTGATACTACGCTGAGAAATGAGTAGCAGGAAAAAATATAGGAAATCCAGATCTTCTTTCCTGTACAAAATAAGACTACACTTTTTAATGTTTATTCTTGTTGGATTTGATTATTTTGGACATTGTTTTAAAAACATCTACTACATTTAGCATTAGGTAGGGAAGTATGCTTTACTTGTTCTTTTGGTGTACGTTTTCTGTACAATTTCTTGTGTACACTGTTCTACGTGTACTCTTCTGACTGATTCACTTTTATTCTGATCTACACACCATCTTTCTGAGTGGTATGCTGTCTTTCAGACTCAGATATAAAGAATTTCCAAGGATTTGAGATTTTAAGAGAGATAATAAAATTTTCAAAGGGCTGTTCTATGATAAAAAATAAACATGTCCTGTTTCCAGAAAATTTTGATCATTTTCATTGTGTTTTCCTAAGAACATCTATTTCCTTCCTATTACTTTAGAGTGTAACTTCCCCATATGGCTGAGTCAACAGCTGCTACAAATTGCTTAAAATGAGGAAAGGAAGAAATTTCTGTTTGGACTGTGTATTTGCACACCTCAGTAAAAATATTACTATGTCATGACTGTAAGATCCAGCTGTACATTCTTTAGAGACAGAGCAGATTTCAAAGAGTCTTATTTTGAGGTTCAGGCAAATATCTACGTGAAAGTGCTAAATTTACCAATGTCACGCAGTTATGCTGGCTCTTTTCTTAATTTCCCCAAGGAAGTGTGAGAGTATGCCTCAGTGATCATCACAAAGATGTGAACAGACCACTTTATTCAAAGCTTCATATTAATGACATGGGTGTGTAGATTTCCAGTGGGTTTTACTGCTGCTATTTACTCTCTGTGTGATGGTAAATCCTTAGAGCTCTGGCAAAGTTTAAAGATACTGCAGAAGTTTACATAAACATCTGTATGGCCCTAAACTGGACAACTGATACCCATGAAGAGATTTAGAGCATGGCAGTGCCCTGCATGATGCTTAAAATCTGGAAAATAGTAATAGGAACAGAGCTGTTATTTGCAAAATGAGAATTTTATCTGGTCTTATTGCTTCTGTACTTGTAAAAGTGACACAAACCCAAGAGACATACTTGCTAGCAACAAGAACAAGACTAAGAGTGATGTAAACTAACACTCATAAGAAATCTTTCAGAATACACATGAAATTCAAAGCACAGGAGACCACTCAGGGACCAAGTGTGAGCAGGAATTTCTGCCACTTTTACCAAGGAAGGCTCACCATCAACCAGCAGTTCTTGACTGTAACTTCTCACAGTCCCTACCAATGAAGAAAGTACACATTTGTAACTTAATCCAGACTGCCACATGGTAAAGCCATCTGGGAGGATATTTTGAAGGAAACAGATGGAAAAGGAAGAGATTCCTCTGAATGTAGTATAAGATTTACATTATCCTCCATGAACTTCCATGTAGTCCCCATGTTTATATAATTTATCACTATTTCCTTAGACAGCTCAGATTAGAAAGCCTGCATGAGCTCATGTTCTTGTTGTTAATTCAGAGTTTGAACCTCTCTACTTTAAAGGGAAATTAGGTACTATGAAGAGAAATCAGAGAAAGGCAGCCAGACCTGAGTGAAAACCAGCAGCATGAAGTTCTTGATCATCCCAGGAATTACATTGTTTTACCTCTCCTTCTTTCAGCCTCGGGAAGACACTTGCTCACAGTGATAAATTTTTGTTCTTGCCATGCACCCATAACAGCAGAACTGCAATGGTGTGGTACTGCAAGCGTGAGAGCGTGGCCTGTTAAAACCAGGAAGGGCTGAAGATAAGTTCAGTGATTTCACTGAACATCCCTTCGTCTAAAGATTAAAAACAGAAATGTTGTCTGTGGAAAGGCATGGCATATAAATAATTTAAGGTGTTCTTTCACTACTCAGTTGTGGTAACTGGAGAGATCTAAACAGACTTCTCTCTCCTTTCATGTATTCTTCTGTGGCTCCTCACTTTCTACACAAACACTTCCACTACTAATGGGAATGTCAAAAGGCTTTCTTTTCTCTGTCTCTGCCTACAGAGATGCTGCTGAGGCACCACTGTAGCAGCAGTGGCATCCAGCTGGTTGACACACGCTTCAGCATCCCTACCAGAATCACTGCTTCAGCAAACGGTCAGGAAAATCCATATGGGGAATGCTAGTGCTTCAGTTCAAATGCCTACATCATTTGGCCATCAATTAAATCTGTCATTACTTTGTTCTGCTACAAAACAACAGAGTCCAGGTCCCCTCTTTGTCCTCCTACATCCCAGCCCAGCTTCAATCCCAGATCTTTCTTCCTTTCTTGCATCCAGGCTTGCACATGGTTATTGCACAAACAAAGCACTTGCAGGAGTCAGTGCCTGGGCAGCTTGGAAACCTGGCAGCATCACAAGGCCCTTGGCAGGAATGGTTTCTGCTAGGCTAGGCTACAGCCATCAGCTGTAGACCCCTTCTTCCTGCTGACCTCAGTGGGACTGAGCTCTGATGCGTGCCAGAGGAAAAGGCAACATTAGCAGCTGCCCGGGAGTCTCTGCCTCCTGGATTTGCCTCCTCTCTGCAGCAGGGCTTAGCCTCCCTGTCACTCAGGTGCCACAGAGGAGAGAGCTGGCTTTATGCCCACCTGCAGGTTTACTACCATGTTGTAGTAGGAATAGCCTGATTGTAGCAGTAACATTTGAAGGATATAAGCAAGACATGGAGAGGAAATATCTTCTATTAGAAGAGCTTGGTGCATTCTGAATTGTGTGGTGCAGTCAGATCATAGACAGTAAGTCACTGGGGACTTAGGCAGTTTTTAGCATAAGCTGGCCTAAACAAAAGACATCACCTCTCCTCACAAAACTTAACCTTACTTGAAAGTACTGCTACATTCATGCTGTGTGTCACCTCCACCATTCAGAGACATTATTAGCTGTGCTATGGATTCATCATTGCTACAACTGTATTGATTTCTTTTGTAGAAATCTGATTCCTGCACATGCTTTGGAGAGTTACATCATTTTACCCCTTCAACTCGTATCTGGATGTTTTCTGTTTGGTATGCAACAGTTCCTAATTCAGTTGATATTATGACAATGTACACTGTACATATGTACACTGTACACATGACAATGTACACTGACGATGTACACTGTACATATGATGATGTACACTGTACAATAATGTATTAGAACCATAAGGTGGAAAAATTGAAGTATTATTCCTTTCTAAAAGCAGACCTCTTTTTAGAAGAGCAATGGACCGTTTATGCTCTTGACTAAGTTATCATTCGTGTTCATGGAGGTACAGCAGCACAGCCCACGGACTCTGCCAAGCAGTCATGGACTTGCTCCCATGCCCAGAGGTTTTCCTCTGTTGGTGCACAGATAACAAAGTGTTAGAGTTAGGTTCTTGGGGTTTTTAACACAGGGCAGGCTGGAAGAAGAAAATTATGTTGATTTTAACTGCAGTGTTTGATTGGTTTCATGACACCTTGTGGCTTGCATTTTTTCAAAGTGTTAAAAAAGAATTATACTACCCAACCCAAAAAGTTCCAATGTGCTAGTCTTTATGACGGCGGATCCAATCTGGTTACCAAGTTCAGCCTATTATATTTTGTGGATTTACAGAATCCTTTAGTGTGATGATGCAGAGCAATGCAGAGTCCCCAGGCAGTGCAAAGGAAAGCTGCTTTATTGCAAAACCAAGGCCTTTTTAAGCAGTTAACGGGTTACCAGTTTGCACAGTTTTAAGGCACAAAAAGCCCAAGGCCACCAACCACCATACACCACGATGTGGACACTTGGCCATCACCCTGCATGTTTCTCATGTCTCTCACATCTCTCACATCTCTCTACCCCTATTCCAGCTGAGTCACTCTCCCATAGTTCCCTTCTACTTAGCCTAAGTAGCAGGCCTGAGCCATGATTTCACAAAGGCCCTTATTTTATAAGGCTTTGCCTATACACAACACTAAGAAAAGCAGAGAGATGGGTTTCATGCATATGCACCTTCTTGCTGTAATGCAGTTCCCATCTATCCCGCAGAGAGATATTTATTGCATGCTGGACTCACACCACAGAAGTGTGCATGTGTGTCTGCATTATCACTGCAAGGTGATCAATGCAGGAGGACAATTCTGAGCAGGCACTGTTCCCTGCTTCCTCCTCTCTTTCCAGGGCCACCATATGATTTGTTCTGGTGGTTGTGCCCAGCAAGCCAGCAGCTGTCCCCCAGCTCATATGATTGATGCATCTCCCTCCTTTCTTTACCGTAAAAGAGGCCAGTTGAAATATTATTTAACTTAAAGTAGTCTAAATAATTTAAATTAGTTTTTCTTACCTGAGCAGGCTTCTTTTGAACCACTTGTTGAGGCTGAAAAGTAAAACAAAGGTACAGTGAGAAACAAAACTAAGAGAAAACGCTTAACTGTGATTTCATGAGTACTAGGAAAAATATTTTCAGCAATAGAAATGAAACACATGAAAAGCCCACAGTCAGAAACGGAAAGATGAAAACATACCAGCTCTCACACCCAGCCTCTCCTATACCTATCTACAACTTTGCTCTGAAGTTGTTCACGTTAGTGTGGATAAAGAGGAGTATGTTAAGCTTGTACAATTAAAACCAAAGTGAAATCTAATTTAGCATGTTACATCTTTCTGCTCTTCTATGGTACTGCTGCCTTAACTTATCAGACCATGAGAGTGACCCGATTTTCGAAATAGATTTTGTTGTCTCCACTACTGCTGCTCTCTTACAACATTCTCATCTGTGAGTGGAGTGAACTGCTGAGGGGGAGCCCTCCCTATTCATCACAAGCAGGGTCAAAGCTCAGGCAGAGAGGTGAAGGACACATAACCCCATTCCTGAGCCACGGCTTCCCACTTGACCAAAGCCACCCTTGCCAAAACCAAGGAGACTGGCATGGACAGTGGTTCCAGCCCTTTTGAGTTCTGGTTTGAGATTTTCAGCTGCATGAAGCTGATGCTGTGCTGACCCTTGCAAACCTATTCATGTGATTACAGGGATGCCCTTCATTGGCCAGGGTGGGTGTGTCCACCTGCCTATGCAGGACTTGGTGGCATCACCATGGATCCTCAACAAGTCTCTCTCCTGCCTGGCCCCACGCAGGACTGGGAAACACAGTCCTCACATGAGTCAGGAGACCCACCAACGTGCTAGTGTGCTACATCCCCACCCAGGAAAAGAGGAATACCAATTAATGAACAAATACAGACATGCTTAAAATACGCCAGCATTGCCCAGATGATGGGATGACCCTTGTGGGTGCTGGAAGCAGCATGAAACAATAAGACCACAGATAAAGGATGAAATCCTGACACAGAAACAACAAAAAGGCTTTTCTTACTTCAATGGGACAAAGTTGCTGCCTGCCTCCCTCTCTCCCCCAGACATTCTGTTTTTAAAGTCTATGAATTGTACCCAATGATTTTCTTCCTGCCCTTCCTTCCTGCTTTTTCCTAATCCCAGCCATGATTTTAGTGCCTTTCTTGGGCAGAAGCCAACATGCCATCCCTCTGCACGGCCAAAAACCTAATTTTCACGACAGTGTAGTAGGAAATAACTGGAATTTTTCTGAATAAGCAGTTTAGTGTAACTGGCCTTTCAGAGCAATATTTCAGTGGGAAGGATCAATAAAAATGTAAATTAAATGTAACTGATTAAATTCGGCTGCCCACTACAAGTGTCCCATTTTAACGAAAGATGCTTTGTTTATTTTCAGTCTTTTTCTAACTCAGTAGAATCCTACTGCTGTTATATTTTTGTATATAACAGTCTCCAAGTTCTGCTCTCAAATAAATATGAGAGGAAAAAAATGTCTGATGACTAGGTCTGTCTTTAAACTTCAGGGTGGACCCTTTCCTTTTCCATTAAATTCCCTTGCAATGGAGAAACTATTATCAAGGCACACATTTTATTGATGCCTTCTCCAGGTGGACTGCAGGCCCTGAACTCATTAATGGACATTTGCTGCTCTTGAACAAAGGAATGATTTGTTTTAAAGGAATCTCTCATAATTATAGAACTCACTGAGCTCTTTTGTAATCTGTCAATTTTTTTCTTCACTTTATTTTCTTTTCTTTTGCCTGTTGATTACACCTGTACATGTGTCTACTCCCAAACCACATGAAATCCACAGACATTTTTAGAGGCTGACTGTTTTCTCCAGCTCAGAAAGCCCCATATATTTTTGGCTGTGCACTCTATGTTCATGTGACTCTCACTCACTGTAACTCAATGAAATCTTCTGAAAGAGCTGCCAACTCACCATATTTTCCATGAATTAGGTCCTGACACTTCAATGAGAGGAAAGACAATGTCTGAAACAAGGCCAGCTCTGGCTTTCTGCCTAGTATGTGTCACAGTAATTCTACCAGCTGCCCTTCTACACAGCAGTTCATACTTTTCAGACCACCAAAAAGCCCCTTGAATACTTTCAGTGATAGCTGGGGCTTGAGCTGCCAGCATGTTTTCCCAGCCTCTGGCACCCAGTGGCTTTGGACTGGACCTTTAAAGTTTTTTTTGCATGTGTTTGTTTTGTTTTGCTATTTTTATGAATGGCTTCCACAGGGAAGTCTGACTCCAGCACAACCCTATCCAGCCATTCATAAAAAGCAGAGGGAAAATATTGTACTTTGCCCAGTTGGAAACTGTCTGTGATACTGACCAAGGCTTTCAAGAATTTTAGTCATTCAAGACCTTTGCTATCCTAGTGCTTCATGTCGAGAGCTCCTTGGCAGGGCTTGCTCACTGCCGGCTAGATTTCCCTGCACTTGGGATCTGGAGCTCAGCATATGTTATGCTTGCTGCCTTAAATGGAAGAGGTTTAGCTATGCAAGCCCAGGAGCAGGGCTCAGTCCCTCAGCCAGTGTGAGTGGCACACACACTGACACGCTGGGAGCCGTGCCCACTCATGTCACTTTGAGGGCTCCGGCTGGAGGCAGCTGAATCACTGCAAGTGCCAATTCTCAAAGGCATTGCTTTTCATGCTTCAGCCTGGCTGAGTGGGAATGTGGCTGGACATATAAATCCTGTAAGGTCCAGTCCTGTGAGGACTAGTGCCTGCTGACTCAGAGTGCCCTGACCAGAAGAACTGAGGTGCTCAGGAATAACAAGAAATTTCCCAAGCACCCCTTTCGTTTCTTTAACTGTTGTGGATGCGATGCCTTCGGAACCATTTTGACATACTAATGCTTCAACTTGCTAAACCTTGTGTTTACTGCATTAAAAGATCTTTTCACGGCTTTGAAAGTGACACCTCTGATTCACAAGTGTTGCATCTGCATGTTCAATTATCTGGAAAGAAAGACAATCTGCCTTGGTTATGGAAAAGACTGGAACTATAAGATAGCCATGGACAAGAGGCAAAAATAAAGTTGTAAGCAAGAAAGGAGAGCTCTGAATTGTTATGTATTGCCCCTGCTAGGAGCCTGCAGAGTAAGATGGTAGAACTTCTACTGTGTCAGAGGCTCTCTCACCTATATTAGCCATCTTAAGAGGAGATGAGTACAACACAGTGCTTTCACATTTCATTTTTATCCTAAGTTTGAAAAACATCTATTGTACACTGCATGTGCACCAGCTGATGTTCCATACACTCGAAAGCAAACTTCAGGGTTTTTTACATCATATGCAAGTACAAGTCAACACTAGATATCTTTATAAAATATGTATGAGACAGAAAGAACAAGTTACAATGCTGGAAAAATCCTATGACAAGGTAATTTAAATGTCTATCAAACAAGAACAAATCCAAAATGCAGCAGTATTTCTTTTGCCATGCTTAAAATATTGAGTATGTGAGCTAAGGCAGAAGATAATAATTTAAAACTTGAGGATAATATTCCTAACTTTGAAAAAGAAAAACCCCACAAAATGCCTGAAAAGGAGAATACACAAAATTTTGATGGTTTTCTCTTTGTTGTAAGTTTTGAATGTTAAAAGCCCAACTGTTTATCTTCTACACTTCTTCCACTCCTCCTCAGTCACACATTCCTCATTTTGTTTTCTTATTTTCAAATTCTGTTGATTTGCTTTATGTCAATATCATACATATATCCTTACAGCTCATACTGGTCAAACAATTTCTTCGCTTTCTACATGAGAACAAAAGAGCAGTCTCATGTGATGAGTTCATATTCATCTTGCACCAGCAGTCTAAAGTTGTATCAAATTCAATTTGTCACACTTATCATTCACAGGAGTACTTCTTACCCTGTGACTTTTCCTAGCATCACAAAGCTAAGGAAGGAAAATGGAAAGTTAAGGGTAAATCTTTATCAACTAGTATGAGCAATGCTGGAACACATTTTTAATGATCAGAAATAAAAACATTGGTTTGAATGCAAATCATCCCCTGGCTGCTACGTCTGAAGCTCCAAGGGCAAGCTGCACACACACAGCGTTCTTAGATTTTCTGTTCGTGTCTTCCTCTTCAAACTGAGTGTTATGAAGATGTCTGCTTGATGCTTCTTGGCAACAGTGACTCTGTTTTTTTCCAACAGCTTGACAGAGATAAGATATTTGCATGGAGGTAGTTCTGCTGGGGAGACTAAATGGCCATGATGAAAACTAATGCCCAGTTAGGATGACATTTATAGTGCTGACAGCTCTCTGTTGTGCAGAGATCATTAAAATAATTTCATAGGTCATCCAAACACTTGTAGTTCTAAATTAAACGATGAGTAAAACCATATTTGGTCTTTTTGTCTACATACCCTTGAAAAATCAGGAAGTTCATATTATACCAGTTGAAACCAATATAATCCAAAATAAATCATGTCTTTCAAGCAGTTCCATATGACAGCAGAGTAACTACCATTCTGCCCTACAGCTTTAATTGGTTTGAGCGCAGCCTTTCTCTCTTCCAGCACAGAATGATACAGTGCTGGGACCAGTGGCCCACACAGCCTGCCAGGAAACTCTCACCTCCCAGCAAAAGCCACTTGCAGCTTCCTGATCATCAGTAGAAATCTTCCTGAAATTGCATGGGACGATGTGCCTGCCATTCGCTCCTCAGGTCCAGGTATGCTCATGGCTTGCTTTAGGAATAATCTCCCTTTTGAGGCAGTAGCAGAACTGCTTTTTTATCCCATCAGCAGTGAGGGGACTTGTGTTCTGGAAGTACAGGTCATGAATTCTCCTGCCCCCCTCACGTGCTTGCAGTCAACTGGCAACCGTAGTGTCTGTGTATGCACACTGCTGTGGGTCATTAGAATCTAACAACAAAACCATCTGGCCCTTAGAGTTCAAAGGAGATTTCACAGTTCTCTGTGCAGTCTCATAAATGAGGCTAATAGTAATCTGTAGAGAATTCTGGCAAAATCTGTGAAACTATTCTTTATTTTTTA